AAAAACTCTGCCACTCTCTTGGTTTTATTAATTTTTTTAGAAGCCTTGTCAAATCTAGCGAAGTAATGAATAATTTTTGTAGTAACAAGAAAATACAATAATTGTTTTTTTTAAGCCAAGTGAATAAAAATAAGTTAAATTCCTCTTTCCTTATTTATTTAACATGTAAGGTTTTAAGAAATTGTCTTTTACGATGGTTTGACCAACAATAATGAAATTACCAATAATAGACAAAGCTTACATAATAATTAAATAACATTGAGGTGCGTTTATTTTAAAAACATAGTATTCAAGATCGATTGCAGGAAAAGAAATGATAACAGGAATTAAATAACACATTGACAGATATGTTAGTGGTGTGAAAATTTAACGAGTTGTGAGTAATTGAATCGTAAACTACATAAATGTTTTACGTTTATTGTAACGCCAACATTATAATAATTGGTCGGGATTTATCTTGCGGAAAAGGATACAAACAGCCCAAAATGTTCTCTACTATTTGAATTTACCGTGCACTTAATTTATTAAAATATATTAATTAATGATACATTGTAGGATAAATTATAGTTTTTGTTTTATAAAATGACAAAATCTAATTCTCTCCAATTATACTTCAACAGTAGTCCGATTTGCAGATAGCTAGCTATGCAGCATAATCATTTTCACCACTAAAGAGTATTGTGTCACACAGAAAGTGCTTAATGCCCTGAACGTGCAATCACCGTGAAATAGCACAGAATAGTTTGAAAACTCAGAAATAGATGACGGAGTAAAAAAATCTCTAGTGATTTGAGTCCTCAGGGAGTAAAGAGAAGTTAATAGATTTCATTAATTAACTCGTTCACTGAGCCGAGTGATTGCAGTGCTGTCCCAAGATAAAAGTAACAATTCGGATCTATCGGGATTTGGGTTATGCCCCGTATTCAGATGTGAAATGTGACAAGACTGTCTCCAACTTAGTTTATGCAGAATAAAACAAGGAAAAGTTTCGCCTTGAATTGATTAATCTAGATAAGAAATGTTAATATGTTATAAAATATATATCTAGATTATTTAAGGACAAAACTTATATTGTGTTATAAATGTATTCTTCTCAATAGATATTGTTGATATTGATCCTTATGTCTTTCAACTGTTTTTATTTTTTTTCAAAAAAAGAGTACCTAGTGATGTTTTCGTTTTGTTTAAAATCTTCATAATTAGACATGTAACATTAAGTACTAAGTACCACAAAAGCGTTTTTCAGTAATAAAATTAATCCTGATCGTGATGTCTGGGAAAATTTTGATATAAATGTACTACAGATTTATTTATTTTTTTAATCGTGGCCAAATAATCATATCCTTTTCTATTTATGTAATTGAAATATATGTGCACATATTCTTAACTTTTGGTAATTCGAATCTATTTTTTATAAACGAGGTGTTTGTCTCTACATATTCCTATGTTTAATAAAGAACGTTTGAAACATTATACATATAACACAATGTGTTTTCTGGAAATAGCTTTGAGTATTTATTTATTATCTTTATGTATGTATGGAAAGTATATAAAATATGTATTTGTATGTGAGTTCAAGAGAAACTTTTCAATGTATTCATCAGATATATTAGAATATTTCAATTCTATTCTGCTAATAAAAAAAAATCAAATGATTTCGGTAAGATTTTTCTTTTCATTATGGTACATAAACCTCCTTATATTTAAAATATTTTTTTTGCTCTCAGTGCCTATTTATGTTTGTGAAAACTGTGCTATATCCTAAAAATACCATCACTGTTGCTATAATATAATATTTTTATGTACTAAAGTGTTGAACAAATTTTAGAAAAAAAAAACACTTTAATATTATACATACTAAGGATACGTTTCATAAAAATGTCAAACACCTTATCCACGCAATAAAGCCATTTCAAATACCCTTATGTCATCGATCCGTAACAATTCAAGCGTTATGTGCTCTTCGCAAATTTTCCTAAAGCTTCCGTCACGAATAAAAGGGGAAGAAAAACACGATTTTTAGATCGTATCACACTTTATAAACAGTTTTAACCTAGATAGAAGAAATAATAAGATAGCGTGGATCTTCGACGGATACATGTTTTGACAACTTTTTACGGATAAAATTACATGAAACCATAGAGCTAAGTCTTCTCAAATCTTATATTTATTATTAATAAATTGTTTTGGTACCTGACATTCTTCACGGAATGTCAATTATTTTTGAAAAAAAATGTCCTTAATATATAAAAAGATGTTTGGTATGAAGATTTCACTAACATAATACAATAATCATAAACCGTAATTACAATTGTTATTTTGAAATATTATTGGCGAATCGAAAGGTTTGGAACTATTTTTTTAGTTTATATCAATCTAAAAAATAAAAATATGTTTTGGTTTGTTATAGGTAAATTTTCAGAACTGAAACCGGTCCATTGCAGCTTGATTGATAGATGGCCAAGCTTTTAAGTTACAAATATGAAAATACACACAACTTTCTACACATTAAAAAAATGTGTGTACATAAATATATCTTATTTTGATGACATACGTTTGTAATACATCATTTTATCAGAATTTGATTTCCATTTGTATTTCAAAATAAGTTATTTAAACAGTACTTATAACATTAAAATTATAGTTTCAGTTCCGAAGTGACATACCATTTATTTTGGTGGACCAAAACTGGTATAAACAGTTCTCTTAGAATAATAGTCTAGCTATTTAATCTAGCTCTTTGCACGTGCAAGCGAAGTTGCTCATTCCTAAAATAAAACATTTAAAATATTATGATACTTTATTTTATTATACAGGGTGACTGGTGAATTACTATCAATATTTAAGGAGCATACTCGGTACATGATTCTCATTCGAATTATGTAAAAAAATAGGTACTTAATTTTTGGCCAAATTTCCGTATAAATAAATAAAGTGTGTACACGTTCCAAGTGTGGACGCGTGCGGCGGCGTGCTGATACAACACTCCGCCGCCGCACGCGTATGTGTGTGTTTGTGTGTATACCTAATCTGTAGGGTGTTCACACGATGCGTAATCAATTACATAACTTTTGGTTAACTTTACTCAGAAGTTTATTAATATTTATGTTATATTAATTTTTCTTTTGTCATATATGATCGTCAAATATCACGTCCTCAAATATCGATAGTAATTCACCAGTCATCCTGTATATATGGTACTTTATTGTTATAGCATAGTATTTCGTACTTGTAAACCAAAGATACTTTTTCCAATTACCCGCCTAAAGAAATCTCCCTTCTATAGAGGTCTTTAATATAATCTATCCATGATTTTTTTACATTAATGTAAATTATGAAAAATCAATATATTAAATTATCAGTATATCTAGCTCCAGATTTGGTTTTAGTACACTAATTTCAACTTTATATAAATATCAAAATATATAATTTGTTAAGAAATTAACTTAATGACATATGTAAAATAATAAATTATTATGTAAATAAGTTAAGAAAAAAAGATAATCTCGACATAATTTTGTCTTTTTCTCAACAAATCAAAAGTGTGCGAAGACGGAAGCAATTTCTTATCAGAATATATATTAATATATACAATAATTTTATTATATTATGTATTTCCTACCTTGTCGTAATTCATCAATAAACACAAAATTGCAAAGACTCGTCAGCGTATAGAAAAATCCTTTGATATATTGGCTCGTTATTCGCGCCATCTCCTTCGTTGGGACTTGGATTGTTAATCGGGCCATTTATCACGATCACGCTTGGTATTCACTGCAAACGAACGATTCAAATTTCGCGAACAATTTCGCAGGAGATCAGAGCGGTTTCTTGGATGGTTGGGGTTTTAACCGACGAATGCTAACACCGGAAAACTGTTCGCTTTGATTTTAGTTACTTAGATACCGAACAAAGAATTACTATCCAAAATTAAAAAGGTATATTAACTTAGAAGACACATTAATACAAAAGTTGTAATATGTATATATGTATAATAATAACGTGTATGTAGTATGTCTAAACAAACTTGTCATCACCATATTAATGTGTAACTTTTTATTGTAGAATTCTTCATATAGAATTTATTTATATATAATAATATTTGTTACTAATTTTATCTTCTAGCTGTTTTCGCAAGCGTGCTTGGCGACGTTAAATTTTGTAGAACCGCGTAAGCTCTTACTTAACTTTAATTTACGGCCAGTGCTAATACTGGTGTATTATCGTGTTGTCCTTACGTTTGCAATTTATAGCAACTATCTTTTTTGTGTCTTCAGGGTGTGAAATATATTTCATTCGGTTTGTTAAGTTAAATTTTATTTTCAAGAAGCTGGTTTTCTTTGCAAAAGTTTCATATTCTATAGACTTTAGTACTACATGATACAAAATAGGCTGATTACTAGGTACTGTTTCTGAATCAGAAACAAGAGAATCAGAACATCAGAAACAGGAACAGGAACTTGTATTTTTTTAAATTCGGTATAGTTCTCTATAAATTGTTAAATCTTAGTTTAAAACGTTCATTAGTATTTTTCCATTAATTGCATAATAATTGATATTTTGTGAGCTACATATGTACAAGTAATACTGTAATATTTTCATAATGTATACAATTTACATAAGTGTCCTTAATATAACATAAGTAAATAATATTTTGTCTTTTAAAATCATGGGTTTGGGTTGTGTCACAAAGACTTTGATATTATTTCATATTTAATGTATTCCTTTCCTTGCTCTCCCATTTGTTTGCCAACTGCCATGTTTTGGGCTTATCACCATGTACCTTAAAAAATTGCAAATCTTATACATACTTATCATATCTTAAATTGATAACAGTTTTTATTATGCCAAATATATTATACAGTGCAGGACAGCTGCTCGTAAATTAGGAATGTCCTAAATTCTCCTGATAGATGAAGTTAGTCACATTTAGTTTTCTAAATTCCTTATTTAATAGGTGGTTTTTTATCTAGCATTAATAAACAAGAAAGGGTAAATAAATGGTCTTGACTGCATTAGAATATGGTTGGTAATTATAAATGAGAAAGATTAGAATTATGAATTTGAAATTATCCTTGTTATTTTTGCTACTTTGTTAGCTAGCTAGCTCTAAGAAATGGGAACTTTCTTCAGTATGTACTATATTATTATTTTATTTTATATAATAACCGTGTAATGTCGCCTATTTATTTAACGTTAAAGTGATCTGAATTTAACACTCTTGTTTGGATTTTTATCATTTCTGTTACTTTTAAGGTAAACACAGCCATCTTCCAATATATTTGATCCTTAATTTAAATCAATAGGTCTAAGGCCAGGGCCGAGCGTATGGGCGGAGTCTCTGGACGCAGTCAATTTGTCAGCGGTGTCAGGCGGAGACACAACACTGCCTTGCGACTCTCTCTCTCCTCCACCGCCTGATGCATTGCTACTCGTCGTATGGTATAAAAACGACCTACCAATTTACAGGTCAGTTATAGTCAGCAATTAATATATATATTTTTTTGTATAAATTATAATAAATCGAAAGTTTGTATTTTCTGAAAAATATTTTTTTTATTGTATAAATTTTACTATTACTCTAAATATATTATTTATAAACAATAAACCTGATATAAAATACTACAGTTTTACTCAATATAGTTTCTTGTTTCCAACATTTTCTACTCCCATGTGTTACTGAAAACCCTTATATTATTCAATACCTGAAACAAGTATACCCTATTTTCATCACAACATGATTTTGCTGCTGTTTATTTAAACAAATTACATTTGCGGAGATTTATTTTTTACTGATACATAAAGTAATATGAAAGTCAGTGGTGGCCTAGTGGTTAAAAGGCCCGCCTCTCATGCACGAGGGCGCGGGTTCAATCCTGGCCCGGTGAAGTACCAATGTTATTAATGTGTTAAGACATCACTGATTAATGCTGATTTCCAAAGAGGGTTGATGTCAGGCAGGCGGCCGGTCGTAAAAACAATTAGCCAAAACTATTCACAACATGTAAGGCAGACCCTGGCTAGAGCTGGGAAAAATTGCGAGGTAGAAGAATAGAAGAAGAAATAAAGTTATATGCAATTTTTTTCTCATTGTTTTCTATTTTTGTTCTTTAACTTTCCTTACGTCACTGTTTACGTTTAATGTTAATTTATGAAGGATTTTGCTTTAACTTCCATAATATTTAGATCTCTAGAAGGAGGAATAAGTTCAGAACATTTAAAAATATGCTGACCACAAGTTCTTGTATCATCTTAAATTTATGTTACACCCTTGTTAAGGTAGTATCAATAATAATTCATAGCGAATCACAGGCTAACGAACCCTGCATATTTCATAGATTCTCAAGCGCACATTTGTTATGCATTACATCTGCTTGATTTCAAAACAGTATGTGGCGGGTCAGAATCGACAAGACCGAAGCCCTCCTCTTCCGCGGGACTGGGCGGAAAGGACCCCTGCCGGGTGCCACCCTCCTCATAGGAGGAGGGAGGGTCAGGGTGAGTCCCATAATGAAATATCTGGGGCTCGTTCTTGACGGAGGATGGACCTTCGTGCCCCATTTCAAGGAACTGGGGTCGAAGGTCGTGAAGACGGCAGGTGCGCTGGCACAATTCCTCCCGAACCTCGGAGGACCCAGCACAGCTTGCAGGCGGCTATACTCTGGGGTCTGTCAGAGTTTAGCCCTGTACGGTGCTCCCGTTTGGGCTGATCGCCCAATAAGCCGCGGGACCAAAGCCCTATTGCGCTCGGCGCAAAGGGCTCCTGTGGTGAGGGTGATTAGGGGGTCCTAGAGCGTTGGATGAGGCGAAAACGCAAGCCCCTCACTTTCCGTCTGACGCAGGTCTTATAACCGGGCACGGTTGTTTTGGTTACTACCTGTGTCGGACGGCCAGGAGAGAGCCGGGAGAAGGCTGCCATGAGTGTGGCGCTGCGGTGGACTCGGCCCAGCACACCCTCGAGGTGTGCCCGAGATGGGCTGCGCAGCGCCACTACCCCGAACCTGTCGCTGACAGATCCGGGGTACACCGACATAGCGGCCGATGGCTTTCGCAGTGGTTTTAGTGAGTAGGGGCCTATCCAGGCCGAGCCTCACACATCCCTTCCGGCCCCACCAAGGCCGGTTGCACGGCTCGTAAAAAGAGTTTCCCTGCGACATCAAAAAAAAAGCTCTGTTTGTTGAAATTAATATGTCAATACACTGAACTTCCTTTCTAAAACTCATAGTATCAAAAGCTTGTGCATTTATCGAGGTAATTTTTTTTAATCAAAGATTATCTCTAGCACAAACTTAAATTATAAATTGTCGCAGATATAAAATAAACCTTTTTAAGGTTTTAGTGTCCAAAACTATCACACTTATATACTTGCTACCTTGTCCTTACAATACGATATAAAATATCATACGTATAATCACTCATTGCTATCCAGATGTTCAGATATCTTTCCTTTAACTTTTATTCCTTGATTTCTTTAACTTATATTTATATGTCTACAGGGTATTTTAAATTCTTTTTTTTTTTTGCTATTAACAAAACAATTTTACTAAATTATTAGAAAAATTTTAAAATCATATATTTACCAAATGGCAAATATGCTTCCATCAACCTAACGTTTTCCTAACGCGTTAAATACTGGTGGTAGTAGTTTTTTTTTCCAAAAGTATGAAAAAAGCAGTTAAGTATTATTAAAATTATTAAAAATTAATATACTTTTAATATCTTATGAGAAAGTATTAACAATTTTTCTTATGAATAAATTTTTAAGGAATAAAATATTACGACGAAGTAATAAAATAGTGTGGTCTATGAAGTTTTCTACATATGTATAAGTATTACTGTATAATCTACGTTTCAATGACGGATTATGACGAAGTTACGTTATATTGGGAATTACTCTTGCTCAGTCGAATTTGATTGATGACACTTTAGTAAATAGCTAGTTACTATAAGTACATAAGGTCTTGTATATCACTCGGTCATTATTCATAGGTACGTACTCTATATTATATATTTTTTCATAATTTGGCAAAATCATAACGCTTTTTCTTCATTAAAGAAAAATATTTATCTTTTTTGATTCTTAAGAGCTCTTGTCAATCTGATCCTATATAAATTTCCTTAAGACCGGATAAAGAGTTAGGAAAAGCAAAGCGCCACGCACCTAAACCAGAGATTGTGTGTATTACAAATATACTTAATATTTGTTCCCATCAATTTATTTTGGGATACATTTAGATCATAGTGAGTTATTTTTGTAAAAAAATAAATAATTCAATATGAAATAAATTTTTATATATATGTATTTTTATTATTCTATTGACCAAGAAATATTACCCGTTGAGCTGTAAATCTAAGGTGCCGACTTCAAAAGGTAGATTAGATATTAAGAAATCGTATATATTTAGTGAGGAATTAAATTAACTTATTGGGAAGTAAATAAAAATATTGTTCGTTTATTTAAATAAATGGTTTTGTAGTTTTTTGTGTGATATTTAAAAAAGTTTAGGTTACGAAATAGCATGTATTTAAGTGTGAAATTTGGTTTTGGACTTGTTTATCCGTTCCTACATCTACTTTTGAAGTTGGCCTCATTTGTTTTTTAACAAGTACGTCGGATAGCTTTTCAAGAAGGGGAGACTTTCCATACGTGCATTTCGAGTATGAAATTGACAAAAATGAGCGTCAAATGCGTAATAGAGAAACTTTTCTCTTTTACCTGCTAATGACTATTAAACGAGGAGACAATCGATTGTGTCCGAGTACTCAAACAAAAAACAGCTGAAGTATTTCTGATCTGTTTAAGTTCTTCTTATTGAAATAGCAGAAGTTAAAAAAATTCGTCTGAAGATGCGAGCCCGCGATAGGAGTATATTGGAAAATAGTGAACAATTTAAACCAACAACATTTCTTTTGATTTGAGAAATCGGAGAAAATGTATTAAATAGGATCGCAACAAAGTGAGATCCTGTTCTTTTTTTCACTAACTAACTTTACAAACTTAATTATCTCCCAGTCACTAATTATGAAAAGAAGACCTTTGGTGTTTTGATTATTTTTCCTGATAATTATCCAAGACAAAACAAAAGAGCAACCTTGCTAGGGGTTGGCTAGTCATCTTTTTCAATCAGATAAGGATCGTCAGCAACAACACTAAAAAATAACTTTCAGGCCTGGTAGTTAGATCAAAGTTTTTCGAAACGAATCGAATTGTTATTTGTATAGAAAACTTACTTTATTTATATTTCTTCACAATTTGTTCTTAAAAATTTTATATAAAAAGGTAAATATTATATCTAAATATTGACACAACATTTTATTAATGCGGATTGTTTATGTTAATTTAAAAACTTAAAATGAGGAGCATATACTTATAAATCAGAAATTATGTTAAATATTTCCACTTTGCAATTCGTATGTAAGGAAGTAACATATTCTATTCAAACTAACAAATACATACTGTCATAATTTAAAAAAATAATAAAAATAAAAGAGAAATTACAATAATCATACATCTACGTTTTACATGTCATTTTCAAGTAATTTAGACAATAATAATAACATTATATTGCTTGACAATAACAAAAAAAAAGAGTAAATACATATAATCATAATATGACATTTTTGCTGCATATGGGTTTAAGCTCTTTAAATTTAAATAAGAGCAAATTGCAATAAAACATTACTTTGCTCGGTATATTACTGTAAGTTTAGATTAAAAAAATAGACAAAGTGTTAATAGTATTATGTTTAACCATCTCGAAGACATCTAAACAAGAAATTTAAATGAAATTCATACACTTATTTAGTATTTTTCCATTTATAATCTACGGAACCGATAAATTTATAATTCTCTACACTATTTTATAGAAAATATATATAGCAAAACACATTAAAAAAAACTTTATTTTCTGATTTATCTGGAGGGTATCTATTGAATTATTCTTTTTTTTTCTAAAGTAATGAGTTTATTTCCGTAACGCTATTCAGGGATGAAGAAAAATGTCCCAACCTATTTTCGTTTTATGTCAAATGTATACTTTTTCCAATTAGGTACTTTTGAATTGTTAATGTTAGTATATATGTACGAGTAGATAGTAATGCCGGCTTGTAAAATATTGTCGGTAGCAGCAGTTTTATTAAAAAGATGTTTTGTTTTTTCGAATACATTTTTATTTAACGGAGACAAAATACCATTAATACAAAACATGATTAATTTGAGTTTTATTACCAATCACCGTTGCCTTATTGACATTACTTAATGTGTATTAAGATTTCATTTCATGAAAGGATATTGAACAATAAACATTGTTTGTTTTAAACTAGAAAAACGTTTTCAAAGATTCCTGGGTCTCTTTGTCCATTGAGATTTCTAAGAAGGCTTTCGTTTCAATTCGAATTTATCTGAGAGTGTATTGAGTTTCATTCAAAGGAAATATAGGTTACCTTGCAATTGCCATTCCCTTTTGATCTTTTGTCAGTTTGAATAACTTGTCGTTGAGCAAAATAATATACATTGAAAGGTGATGAATACATTTTCATAATTTTTCATGACATAGATTAGTTTTTTATTGACAAAACTCATTATTGTGGCATGACTTAGCATATTATATCTACGTACTAAGTATTTAAAATTTATTTTCGTTATATTTAGAATTAGACATTTTATATTTATATATCTTAGGTATATTCTTGTTATTGCAGCTACGACGGGCGTATAAAAGGGCCTGCTGCACACTGGGCAGATGCAACGCTAGTGGGTCGTGCCAAGTGGCACCTTTCACCGCACTCTGTGCTTCGCATCCGAAATATCGTTCCAGCAGATCGGGCCCTTTATCGCTGCAGAGTTGACTTTAAAGTATCTCCAACAAGAAACTATAAGTACATGCTACACGTGATCGGTAAGAACTTCGATTTATATAGTTTATAAGATCACTTTGAGACACAACTTAAAGAAGTACTTAAAACAGGGATCCAACAAATACGTTCCCAAATAAATTGAGTTTTAACTTAGGGTCCAGGATACAGGCAGAATTGTAACTTGGCCACGATAGCTGTAAATATAATAGAACCATAACTATCTTTTTTAATATGTTTCTGGACACAAAAAAATATTCAACAAAGTAAATATATCATCTCTAATATTCTGGGGTTCAACAGAATTCAGCAGACAAGAATTCGTGATGTTTAACTTGATAAATAACCTTTTAGTTAAAAACGAATCAATCACTTGTTGAAAACCTGACGACGGGCGGGAAGATTTTATTCTGGACTCACCAATCACTGTTCCATTAGTTTTTTTGTAAAAGTTCTTTATTTCATTCATGCCGAAAGGACCCATGTCACCATATATCCATTTATATGAACAAATAAGATTAATTTTTCATTATTATTTATTAGAACCTATTAAGATCGAATATCTCCTATATTAAAACTTACTTCAATTAAATTATTATTAAAGTAACCTTCGAAGAACTTTAAAGTGACGGCGTTTTATTATTTAATCTTATAACAGCTTTAATACATTAATAAAAATCTAGCGAATTACATTTGAACGTTTTTTTTCCGGGAGCTAACTTGAATCTTAGAAACATCTTTGAGCATATTCTGTTATTATTTAAAACATAACAATAATACAATCAGTATAACCTTACTTTCCATAACTCCTGTTTTCAAAATATGTTAAGCAAAATGAAAATATAAACTTTTCTGTTTATCAGCATTCTGATTGGGGTTACTACCATTTATTTTATAAATCCCACATGTAGACAGTATTCAAGTGTTTATATGCCATCAGCAATAAAAAGGGATAGACAGTAAAATGTTCTATTATTGTTGGGAGATAAAAGAAAACTTAATGGACTTTTTATTACCCAAGAGAAATTTAAATTGTTAGTTTTGCATAAAATAATGGAGATAATTTATGTATATAATAGTAAATACTCAAAAATCCTTGTGGTATCGTATTCTACTATCAAGAATATATTTTTTCAATTCTATTCTAGGAAATGTATTACTGTTTAAGATATTTTATTAGGTACTGTATAAATATTGTCGGATTTGACTGACGAACAATATTAGTGATTTATATTAATTTTGTCGGAAATACTGGCAAACACGTTTTCATTGAAAAACGGGTGAAGCATATTGTTTGGCATACATATGGCATACACTTCTAACTTCATCAGTCTACTTTTAGATAAATTCATCTCCTCCTTTATAACAAGTAAACTATCGCTTAGTTCGCTATTAAGTTAAATTAGTATTAAATTATTTCAGACTTTTTCGGATTTAAATAAAATCAGGTTTTCCGGATTTTATTTTTTTGTAGTTTATTATTCTCATGTTTATTAATACATTTAAAAAGCGATTACTTAATTATTCATAGGTCCGAACCGTAACGGCATATTTATAAGAATTAATCTGCGTTTTATGTCAAGCATATTACATTTTTTGTTGCATCTGTATTCCTTTTAAATTTATTAAATTTTTGCATATAATTCATTCTTTTGGATTAAATTCTATAGTAAACTTAAGAAATCAAATTTTTGTTTGACTTATCGAGTCACAAAAATAAACAAATGAATTTATATGATACCTAATTTTGTATTTTTAAGTAAATACTTACTCAGTGTAAATATTAACTAAGTCGTTCGTAACATATACTATAAAATAGATTCGGTAGCTTAATTTACTGTTCAAATATTTTTATATTTGTATATAAATGGTCTTAAATTTTCTCATGGTTATCAATTATTTAACACCCTACAAAGGATATCTGGAGCAATTTTAATACATTCTCAATATAATGTGATAACTTAAAATCTCTTGAAAATATTAAAATTATCATTTATTTAAATTTTTGGTCTTTTTCAAAAAATCAGGTCATTGCACTGTAATTTATGTTACTGAAATATGAATGTCGAACAAAAAGGAATCAAAGATAATAACAATACACGTTACTGTGGTATTGTATGTCAAGACGACTTCGTTTATAATTTATTTATATATTTGTCACATTTTATTACATAAAATAAATAAAATATTTCCTTGACATTACACTATAATTACATTATTTTTTTCATAAACGATTATAGAATTTATATATATATATATGTGCTTTAATTTAAAATATTATATACTCAACAAACATAGTAGGTATATAAACTGCCGCCATGTTCAGTATCAGCTGCGTTACCAACGTCACCTGGGCCAGATGTACAACGAATTTATGTTTGGGAATATAGGAACGAAGCCAAACGATAGCGGTTTATAAATCTTGCCAATTATGTGATAGAAACTCATTTTCCATAGTTAACGTTTCAAATGATCACATAAGTGTTATTATCGCATATATCATATCTAGCGAGAGAGCTATTGAGAAAAAAATAATTTATTTTTTTCCTAATACCTACATACTAGCTTTTTTCTCGGTCTTGCTTCTTAATCAAAAATTTTGGAAGAATAATTTAGTTAGAGTCTACTTTAAGATCGAATTTCATACAAATCGATACAATACGTCCTGGCTATTTCATAACACAAAAATTATGATAATTCATAAAATAGCTTGAAATAAAACGACTTACTTTTTTTGTTATTCCAGTCTTTAAACTTATCAATTTGTATTAGATTATTTTGATTGGGCATTACCAACACAAAATCTGACCTAAGCCCTAGTACATGTAAATTCCTCTACTCAGTGATCTAAATCGATACTTGTGTGTTAATACGTGGCAATTTGAATGTTTTGATAAATTTGTTATTAAAATTCTTTAACATCTAATTAAAAAGCAAATTAATTGATATAAATTAGGTCTTGTATTACATAGTTATCTTGTATCAGTCTTTACATAAATAAAAGAAATTGAATTTATTACTAAGGTAAATGCATATACTTTCATATCACTTTAATATATTAAAGTTATTGTTGTTTTGCAAATGTGCTTGGAAATGTGTCGTCATTCGGTTTTAACTAAAACCACAGGCATATATCACATGAATAGAATATAATTTGTTCTAGCAGCTTTACAGTTTTAATACATTTTAATATACAAAGCTTTTGTTTATAAAACAGTGTTCATGAATTTTATTGTAGGTTTTTATAAAACTTACGTTTTACTTCTTGAAACCATTTGTTAATTACTTTTATTGCGTAATAAAGTAATATGGTAGGTAGTATATATACAATGTCAAGCTATTTCTTTTATGTTATTCGTATAAAATTCAAAGCATTTGTCCTTTTAATTTTCGTTTACAGCTAACAATTCTGTTGTTGGAAAGGACTGATGAAATTATACATCATTATAACTATGTTAAATGTCAAATGTTTCAAAGAAGAATGCTATTTTCGATTGAAACTTAAGTACAATGCTATAATTATAATTAATAAATTGAACTATTATAATAATTATTAGCAAATCGGTTTTGTATATAAAAGGTAGAACAGATTAACGCGAGTAACACACAGAGCATGCTTCAAGTCTCAAATGTTAATGTAGGTAGGTACATATTTCGTGTAACTTAACACATGTTTTCAATTATAAATATTTCAAACAAAATATGCATTGACACTCAAGATATAATCAAAATTATAAAATTCTAAAAATTTATAATAATTGAACTCATTTAAAACAACCCAAGTATAGGTATGTGCGGATAAAATTAACATGACTCCGTTATAAGCCTCAACAAGTAAAATTACAAAGTTTTTAGTGAAAATTTACAAAATATGTTATATCATTTTTTTTAATAAAAAATGAGAGAGTTGGCAGAAGCTTTCAAATTATCGTTAAACATAAATAATACACGTATTTAAAATTCTAATTAAACATTGCGTGTAATGAAAAACTGTGAGAGTGATTGTCATTTTAATAAGCGATATGAGCTCAATAGAATATAAAAAATATTTGCATATATACAATGTACTTAGTGTACAATGTATTCAAGTATATAATATTTTGTATATGATATAATTTTTTTGCATTTTCTGCGAATGGTCTTCAATTTTTAGAATAATGCTTATGAAAAAGGCTGTCTTATTAATAACATATTAAGTTACATTTGAATATTACTCACACTCGTAATCACATTTTGTTGTATCTAATAAATTTTAGTCCAGACAGTGAACAGAGCAATGGAAGAGAATTAAATATTTATAAACTCGATTCAACTATAGAATACCAAAATGAAAAATATTATTTGATAGAGTTGCATCCAGGCGGCCGATTGGGATCAAAAAGAAGTTTAACATAGTTATTCAATGAAACTGACAATATTAAGGCATGGACATGAGTTTTTCTGGCATTGTCTAGTATTTTTGGTTAAAATTTGTTTATTTTAATCTTAACAATATAGTACTATTACACTTACAAGGTTAATCATTATGTTCTATATCGTCATAACTGATTAAACACGTAATTGGTTCATGACAATTTTGATGTAATCAAAGCAAAACACAATAATTTAATCACGATATAATATCATCCGGCAATTATGCAATTAATTATAAACTAGTTTTTATATTAATTTGAATTATGTTATATAAAAATAAGAACACAATTCACTTATTAATTACATAGTTGTTACGTTCTATGGATATATACAATTTAATAAGAAATTAATTAAACTTTTTGAAGTTTTGCAGAGTACTAAAAAATTCCCTTATATTAAGTACTTTGGCTTGCTTATGTTTCTTCTCCGTATTCACATTCACAATCAACTCTTCATTTATATTAAATTTAACTAACTCTGGTTAAGCCACACGAAATAGCAATTGTCAATTTCCTATGACTAATATAAATTTGAGATTTCATGTAACAATGTGATTGGTCCCATAAAAAAAGAAAATCTGGAAGAAATCATTCCACTTCACTTAGAATTTTGGATCAAAGTTTATAAATTCATGAATTTTTCTTTCATAAAATACAGAGTCATAACGATTTAGATAAAATACGGACACATAATCTGGCGTCCAGCCAATTTATGCTTTATTATTTGTAATCAATGCCAATAGCTGCTATTTTTATCCTTATGTCCAAAAGTTGCCGTAAATTCAAAAAAATTTCGTAAAAAATAACGTCACAGAAATATACTTAAATAACTTGTACATATAATCTTCTTCTTCTTCCTGCCCTGGTCCGACTTTATGTAGGGTCGGCACAACATGTTCTTCTCTTCCAGTCTCGCCTATCAGCCGTCATCTCATCTGTTTCCCCTTTCTTAGCCATGTCATCCTTCACGCAATCGATCCATCTTTTCTTAGGTCTACCTCGACCCACATATCCCTCCACATTCATATCTAATATTCTTCTTGTTATATGACATTCATCCCTTCGCATAATATGTCCATACCAAGCTAATCTATTACTTCTCAACTTATATATGTATATTTTTCCCTTAATTTTAAGGGGCATGCGTGGGTCGCAAGTTGTTACTGTGGCCTGTCGCCATTTCATCCTTCCGGATAAAGCCGAACACATCACGCCAATCACCTCCAATATTTTCACTAAGAGTGTAGATTAAGTTCTTGCGGAAGAAAACCCTATAACTATGTATGGTTATAGGCGTGAAAATACGACCTTAAATCCCTATATTTCCAAATTTTGTTACAATTCTTTTAGACTTTTAGTATCTTTTATTAAAATAAATATTATTACTTGGTCGTGCTTTCTTTGTTAATTGAGTAACTACTTGATTTTTTAATATCAAATAAATAATGACATCAATATTAATTATATGTGGTCTTACTTGCGGTATCGTTCAAAAAGTTTTCACAAATATTGTAATTCAATTAATTAGGTACGTTTCAACGTGTAGAGCGATATAAAATTTTCAACCAATTAAATCTTATTCATTCTGAATTAAGGCAACAATGAACACATATTTCACATGCAGAAAAAAGATAAATATTTCAACCGATTACTTTGCACAGGTTGAACAATACTATAGAGTCGGTATATGCTATCTATCGAAAATATTTTAAAGAAAAAAAAGCTATTAAATATCTGTTCGCTTAGAAGATAAAGAGATGAGATAAAATCAATTTTACAGTTACTTATATAACCTCGAATATTTAGGTTAGGTATAAAGTTATATAGAATTGAGCTCAGATAATAAAAATGTATTAATTCAGATCCTTTATGATTTCAGCAAATCCATGAACGTAACACATCCAATATAAAAAAGTAATAAAAATTTGTTTATTACTGTAACTTACCTATACCTAGAAACAAACAGATACAGCAAGGGAGCTCCTTTTAAGAAATGGAATTATCTTGTGTTAGGAGTCCCAATATGTATTTATGTATATTTTTTACTAATGAAACCAACATTGTGTATTTTGATATTTTACAAAATTACCGATTTGCGCGTAAGAAAATTAATAGGTGGAATATCTTTTTTGTCATTTTTAGTGTGTAGAATTGTAAACATTATAACAAAGACTAACAAAAAAATACTTCATAATCCCCTAGGTACTAGGCCATCAGTCTAGGTACTGTAAAGTACGACTACTTTATTATTGATTTTAATTTATAATAATAGAGTCATGTAGTAAATGTAAAAACCAGTTTTACTTACATGTAAAAAAAAACATAAAACACAAAACAAGAAATGAGAAATAGTAAAACCAAGTTTTTTAATTTTGCAAGGAGATGGAAATAAACATATGACCTAATCGTCAAAGACAAAGCTTTTCTAATAGGCACGGAACAACTTTATAGGCTTAATCTAATGTCGTAATACAACATGACTTACATGCATTTATATAAAGATATAAGATAAAAAAATACATATATGCTAGTCTATGCAATAGCCCATTCCTATGTTCGTATATGGTTAGTACACAATATAGGAACATTATCTATGTATGTATATAACATTAACAATGTTATATTTCTTATTTTTATAATTTCATGTCGAATAATTTTTTGTAAATAATTTTAACTTAAAATTATCTTCAAAAATTCCACGACTAATACCATAGCATATATCAATTATGTTGTATATTCCCTACTTAATAACAAAGATGTTACATTGAATGGTGAGTTGGTTGTTTGGAAATGAAAAAAAATCTATTTAAAATCCAAACACTCTGAGATTGAAGAGATTTTTCAAAACAGCTATTACAGCAAAAGTAACATAGAGGGAGATCACAATAAACTAGACATTCAATAGAGGGTGTTCAAAATTTAAAAAAAAATGTACAAGGGAACATTGAATACCTTATCGTACAATACCACACTTATAGGGTGTGTGAATTTTTTGAACCCCTTTTACTTTAATGAGGACCCCAACTTCCGTATTCAATGATGTCGTGAGGCACTGTCACAAATAAATGGGGAGTTATGAAGTGTATGTTATAGGGAAATATACTTAATATATGATAGATAAGTAATATTTTATGACCTGCTACATGTTGTTTAAATTTACTTCTCCAGTAATATTGTCAACAGAGTACTTAAATTGTACCTAACTAAACCATATATGTTATTTATTTTTAATTCGAGATTAATAAGTATATTTTAGAAGTAGCAAAACAATATTTTAATATTTTTTAAATTTATATTCTGATCTAATTAAAAGGCAAATCAAAAACAACATGTATAACTCAAAGTTAGTGAGCTCGATTCGTGTACTTTAAATCTGTGTGAAAACGAAAACATTTTAAAACATAAGTAATTCATAATTCCCCCAGTGAAAATGCTATCTCAAAAATCACAATAACGATGATAAGATTGCTTTGGTTCAAAAGTAATTCTTGTCTGGGACGACTCTGGAAAGCTTCTATTTTAGCGATATTCGGTCCGGGGTAAAAAGTTTAATGTAAGGTAACTCAATTATGGAGTCCCATCCTTGTGTGCCTCAAATTTATCACCGAAGATCTTTTCTTCAACAAAATTAGAATGTTATATTTATTAAAACATATCGACTATTATATACATAATATACACTTTGTCAATATTTCATATTCTTTAATTTAAAGATGGTAAATCGACTTCAAGAATTCAGCAACGTTGATATTATTCATTGAAAAGTTTCTCTTTTGTTCTTCAAAGGTCTTTGTGTACTTAATGGAATATAAATTTTAAACTGGCCAGGAAAGGTGGTTATCTTCTATGTTAAAATACAATTGTCGGTTATCAACATTTTATTTTAGAAGATTGGGAATATGACAACAAAATACTTTTATTAAATTCCAAGTTCAACTGAAGGGAAAACTTATGTACAATTGTTTCTGACCTTATCTTTAGTAATTTAAAACGCAAACATATATGTATTGATGCGTTTACAAAAATAATTTAGGGAAATATTTTATTAATGTTGCGATATCCCTACTATAATATTATAAATGCAAAAGTAACTCTGTCTGTCTGTTACGCTTTCACGCCTAAACCACTGAACTGATTTTAATGAAATTTAATACAGAGATAGAACTGACCTTGAGAAAGAGCATTGGATAGTTTTTATCCCAGATATTTGAAAGGTTCTCTTGGAAACGCGATATAACCGAACTCCACGCGGGCGAAGTTGCGGGCGGAGAGCAAGTAAAGTATTAAATAATTGAACTTTTCTATATGTCATCACCAATCAACTATCCAAGCGACCCTACAAGACAATACATTTTTAATAAATATGTAACAGACAAATTACTTTGAAACTAAGTTTACTTGTTTAACAAGATTATTTAAAAAACGAGGTTAAATGGAGGAGACCATTATTTCATATAAAAGCACTTATTTTCTATGTAGTGTAAAAAATATCTTTATTTAACTGGAGGTAGCCACATTTTATAAAAATTTTATTCGAATTTGAAGCTATAAGCCAAATGTAAAATCTACTAATCTTAACCTATTGAAGTTTTACATTAGCAGAATTATTTATTTTTTAATTTTGTTGTCTTCAAGCTACAGATAGAGTTTTTTTTCGTACAAAACTATTAATGAAAAGTATACCTAAAACCTAGAGATCATAACTTGTTAATATAAAATAATATATTTTGAGATATAAAAATATGAAAGAACATGATAAATTTTTACTCCCTCTCTCTCTCTCTGACATGATATAGTGTCAGGTTACAAAAAAAAATTCTAGACCCAGAAAGAATCATCTTCATTTAATTTCTACAGTTGGTAGTGGATATTTAAATGTGTCATGACCTCACTTCACACTTTGAATATAAAGCTCTAAGTAGAGCAGAAGAAGGCCAGACGTTTGTTGATTTTTCAATGTCTTATTACAGTTTTGTATAATCCCAGCAATTCATCACTACAGTCATAAGTTGACCACAGAAATGTTAACAAATGAACAGAACCTTAAAATTTGGTTTTGAATTAAAAAAATACAAACATATTAATAACAACCACATTATAGTACATAATTTATGCTAAAAAATAAACATTTTCTGCAGAACTTCCAGAAAAACCAAAAATATTTGATGAAAACGATAAAGAAGTTATAGGGACGGCCGGACCATATGTAGAAGATTCAAGGCTCAAGCTAACCTGTGTTGTAAGTGGAGGTAAACTAGATTACAGATACTTTTTGTGGTGCCATACTTAATAAGTTATCCCTTATTCTCTGTGTATGGAGTTATTTCGATAATTTTATTAATAGTGGATAGATAATAATTATTATAAAGTTTTAAAGTGGCTGTACATCTTATTATATTTTATTATTTATTTATTTTATCGTGTCATAATTATAATTAATAAAGTAACGACAAAAGTTGTAATTAATCACATTAATGTGATATGCTCTTTGTTACTAAAAAATGAAAAAATGAATTTATCGCTTATTTAATAGTTGTAGAGAGCGTTATACAAAGATGTAAATTAAAATGATAAGAATAGTTGCAGTCACAAAATATATATTATAAGTTTAACACTACAGAAATTTGCAACAGAATGAAAAAAATAAACCAGACTTTTTTATTTGAAACTTGAAAATAGAGTATTCCTAAACGACATAAATACTTTAATATTTTTAATAAAAATATAAATTATAATCCTTATTAATGTTGTGTTGTGTCTAGGTACATATAGATTTTTTAGATTACCCTATTTTTTGAACCAAATTAATTCAATAAAGATGTTTAACTAGTGAAGTGTTATAGTATTTTATGTATGTATGTATCTATAGGTAGACCGATGCCACGCATACGATGGTGGAAAGAGAACAACGTTATCGCTCAACTGGATCCAGTCGAGGATGAAACACGGCTCAGTCTCCTGGAACTAAGGATTCCCTCTCTAAAAAGGGATCACTTCGAAGCGGTTTACAGTTGTACAGCAGATAACACTCCGTTAGTGCCGCCTTTACGAGTCAACGTGCAAGTACAATTATACTGTAAGTCGTATTTTATTTATATGTACATATTTAAAATACATGTGCAGTATGTACATAAACAAAACTTAATTTTCATTTTTTAAGTGAATTATGTACCTACTCGTATGAATACAAATATCCAACAGCAATGAAATATAAACTTACCATGGCAGATGACTGATTTAGGTATAAAAAATATATTATGACAATAAATTATATTATAGCACTATCGACATCAAAATAAAACATGAAATATTCCAAGATTTTTTTCCGACTCAACAGAAAAATCGGTATGACCTGAAAACAGTATATTGAGTATACTTATATGTATAAAGAAACTTTTCATAGAAATCTTAACTTGATTCCACTGGGTCGGCCACTAAGGAATGTTGTTAAGTATGGAGTTCCAGAAGTGACAGTCAATTGTCGTTAACCCAATAGTTTCCACTATACATCAAAAGTATAATCCCTACTTATTATTATAAATGCGAAAGTAACTCTGTCTGTTATGCTTTCACGCCTAAACTACTGAACTGATTTTAATGAAATTTGGTACAGAGATAGGATTGACCTTGAGAAAGAGCATAGGATAGTTTTTATCACAGACTTTTGAAAAGTTCTCTTGGAAACGCGATATAACCGAACTCCACGCGGGCGAAACTGCGGGCGGAAAGCTAGTAATCATATAAACAAAGAAATAAGTTTATGAAAATGTTTAAAATTACGTTGATAGTTTAAATAGAAATACGCAATAATTTATTTTCCTTTGTGTTAATAGAAGATTATATTTTTTTTATATATATACTTAATAACTGATACTAATTATACTTATTTTCATAAGGTAATTTATTCGTCGTTAATATTAATTAAACTTACGTGGCATGTAACAAATTTTCTTTAATTTCAAATTATCTTACCTACAAATATTAGACATAAATTAATAGAAGAGCAAAACAAAGATTCACAATAAGTATTCCAGTGTACTTTCATAAACCACTTCCTAATCTGCTGAGACCTAGTTAATGATGATGAATTAAATTTTGATATTATAATTCACATATCCTTTACATTACTGTGGATTAAAATGATTAGACAGTTACCTCAGGTTAGTTAGTGTATCCCAGGGAATTGGATTCGCAATGCCTCAGAGATTTGTGACAGTGTTGTTGAAAATTACTTGCTTATTTTTGCCTTTTCCATCAAATGTGATTGTATCATTATTGCAAACCTATATATTATACAATTTATGATTTTGTTTTAAGCGGCATTGACATGACGTATCTGGCCTGTAAGCTTTTCCAGAGCTAGATGCTATTACGTAGTTGTTCGGCAATTATAACCCATTTACACAAAAGTATTTTCGCAGGATATTTAATACATACATATGTGATACACAACATTCTTCTTCTTCCTGCCTCAATTTATGATTAGTCTTTGTAAGCTGCAACAATATGTATTAAAATTTAAAATGTCAAAATATTGAAAAAAAAAAGAAATTGACTTACAAACCTGAACTTACAACGGATGATAAGTTCTCAAAGTAAGGACGTGATTGTTCTCAAAGTAAAGACATGGAACTTTTACCTAAACAGCATAAGTAGAAAATCAACACTGTTGTCATTTCTTTACGCCCAAAATTCAATCCTCAAAAATACCCAATGTTTCTTCCTATTTCGATCGCATAGCGCTTACTCCACTTCAGTTTGTCTGTAACAGAGGTTGGTTTCAAAAATAAAAACACTCAATAAAGTCGTGAAGCGAACAAGTCGCCCTTGTGGTTTTCTAAGTTTATTTCTAATAACATGTGTTCTAGAGTAGTTGTTATTGGCTGGTCAGGTAACTATTTTCTCTGCAAATTTACTTTGGAGGAAAAATTAACAATTTTATATTATTGGCTGCTTTCGGTAAACAGATATCATACTTCCATATAGTGTTACCTAAACTATTTCTATTATTTAACCTAGCTCTAAATAATGCGTTAGGAAAGACAGGTCATGGAAAAGCCAATTAATTTCATACTTCAGCCAGTCTTAGAATACGGTAATGTCAAGCTTGTGAGGTTGAACGCCACGTAAACAATTCTTTTTTTTACTGTCAATATCAGTCTGTTTAACTTGACAACAAGTTTCAGAAGGTATCCTTCAAAAACACTGACTGTCGTACCGATTTGTCCTTAAATAATAGTTTTAAGTGGTTCAACGATTCCAAAGTGAAGGCAGCTGCAAGGAAGCTGGATTTCTTTCAAAATGTACAGTTATTTACTACGGCACAGATTCTTTGTCTCTACAAGACACAAGTTCGGTTGTGAATGGAATACTGCCTAAGTCCCCTCACGGCTTTGAATCTCAAAGATAGGCGAGCCAAAAAACTTACCGTGTCTCATTCAACTTTTGACACTTATATTTCATCTATATAATAGTTGTGGTTGTAGACAATCCAAAAACCATAATGAGATCTAAGATTTTCGCGAGTACTCATTTAAATGAAACTAATATTTTCGGATTTACTATGCGATTGTTTATTTTTAACTATAAACTACATACCTACTCCCGACATTTCGGCTACTTAACAGCAACTATTAGTTACTAAATTGGGGTGTTTTTTAATTTCAATAACCTAGATTAACATTGGTATATGTCTGTCTTCACGAATGAGGATATGTGGTTTATCAAATCTAATGTAATGGCCTGGTTTGTCCAATGCATGTTCACACACTGTTTTTTCCTGACCTCTGATATGCCTTCCTTAACCCTAGTACCGAGGCGTCTCTTTTTCTGCCCGATGTAAGACAAGCCACAGTCACAATCAAGTTTGTATATACCCAGTTGTTGTAAAGGAACTGTCTTCGCATATGGTAGAATCACAGGTTGTCGCTCAACTGTAGGTAGCTTCATCTGGTTCTTGCGATGCTGGCGAGGCACTGGCAGGCTGTTGATGGTCAGAGCATGTTTTACATGCTGCAGCTCAGCCTCTAGATGGTTAGCATCACAAAGGTGTTGTGCTCTCTGTAACAAAGATTTGCCAATGGTAGCTAACTATATAGGGTAGTGATGTGACTTACCATTGAGAAACCTATCCCTATGTGTGGGTTTCCTATAAACAATATGTCCCAAAGTATTGTCAGGATTCATGATGACAAGTATATCAAGGAAAGCTAAAGAATTATTTGCCTCTAATTCTATAGTAAACTGAATCTTGCTATTTATAGAATTAAGATAGTTCAGGGAAGCAAATGTTTTGTTTTTATTTAATATTGTGAAGGTGTTATCTATGTACATACCGTTTATAAATTAAAGGTCTTATTGAAGGAGAGCAAAGGGCTCGCTCCTCAAAGTCGTCCATGAATATATCCGCGACAATGGGGGAAACCAGCAAACCCATTGCTACTTCATCTACCTGTATATAGAATTCAGCCTTATTAGAATTCACACACCGTTGCGAAGGTGTTTAAGTGCAACTGATTCCTGTTTTGTTCAGGCAATTTGCTCCGGCGCAGAACATATGTAAGGTCCTGCCGGATTGATTCAGTCTCTATTTTCGTGACCTGATTCTTATGATGACATTCCTCACGTTACAGATAATGTCTTCGAACGGTAACTTTGATGGTACAGGTGCAAAATTCAAACCTATTTTAAGGATCTCAACGGCTTGTTTATCTAAAGTTTGCTTTGACAGATTGACAACAATCACCGGTGACTGTGTTGCCCGACTTAAATTAATATTAGAATTATTGCCATTGATATTTCTACCTATAATTTTGTCCGTTATTTTCTAAATTTTCTAAATTTATTAATTTTATTATTTTTAGTCTGATTATACGTGAATTGTTCACGTTTATTAATAATATCAAAATCATTTTTGCCAATCAATCTTTGACAAACATTTTTGTATTTCATGACTCAGCACATCAATTTGAAAATCTAACTGCCGTGCATTAAATACAACAGCAAGCGGGTGAATACAAACTTGATTGTGATTTGTGAATTGTGACTGTGGCTTGTCATACATCGGACAGACAAAGAGAAGCCTCGCTACTAGGGTTAAGGAACACATCTCGGACGTCAAAAATAGACGAGCGTCGAAGTCAGCAGTGTGTGAACATGCATTGGACAAACCAGGCCATTACATTAGATTTGATAAACCACTTATCCTCGCTCGTGAAGACAGATATATACCAAGGTTAATCCAGGCGATTGAAATTAAAAAAACACCCCAATTTAGTAAGTAATAGTTGCTGTTAAGTAGCCGAAACGTCGGGAGTACCTAGGTATGTAGTTTATAGTCAAAACTAAAAAATCGCGTAGTAAATCCGAAAATAATTTCATTCAAAAACAATAGTTTTATTAAATTTATGCTCCCAAAAAAATTTAGATATTACATACTGTAATGACTTTCTTATTATTTCAACTAAGTATGCGACCTTGTTATTATTTCAACAAGATTAATAAAATACTTTATTAATGATATCATATAATGCAGTCTTAAGATTGACTTATATATTTGTCATACCATATTGTCTAGAACTTTTCATTTTAAGAGTCCAATTTGAGATTTTGTAGAAGTTGTATGTAGTAATTATGCCCCGATGTGACAAGTCGTATTGGAGGATAAATAGGGGCGTTCTTACGATTGTTTTAATGGGGAGTGTGTTGTACTTGTTTGACTCCAACCACTTTTTCTGTGGTAAATTGCACCACGTCACGAATTTACATTGATAGAAGAAAAGATAAAAAAGTAACCGCAATATTTTTTGAGATCTAAATTTATTTATGTTAAATACTAACTGAAACTGTCTTCTGTCTCTTCTATATGCTTATATTTTAAAGTTAAATATATCTATTAAAATATTGTACTTGCTTTTAATATATTTTTATTAAATTTACCGTATCATAAAATTAAATATCAGCTAAATTGTTTATTCAAATCCGCAAAGCTAAAAATTTTGAAACTTCCTTAACGATAAAATAACAAAATTGTGGAATACAGGACACATTCAAGGTAAAATTACATTTGCTCGTTACGTGGCTCACAAAAAGCAATGCAATTTCCTGAATTTTTCGTCCAGTGGAATTACACATTCTCACACGTGACTTGAATCTTACTTAGCTACATCTAATATTTTGGTCTTATTTACTACTAGTACTAATTCTGCTGCAGAAATTGTCGTGAAAATTGACAATTGCTAAATATTTGGTACCGTTCCATACATTCCATACATTTATAGTCATTTACACAACTACATACTATTATCATATAATAGATCTCTCCATTTAAGTTTTTAAGTTATATTTTAAAATCGTCTAAATTATTTATTACTATTTGCATTATGCTTTGTGTTCTATTACCAATAAAATACATATACATACGTACAATTGTGTTGAATAATATTTCCCTAATGTCCTTCATGAAAATGGTCACAATTAACCTACATAAATTAACAGGCATGTCAAGTTCTCTGTATTACCACAGGTATGTTATCGGCTTATGGATTAGTTTGTGTCCTTTCCAGACAAACCATTAGTTTTTATGTTTGGTCCCCTTTGTTCTGCTTTAACGCCATTACCACACAATAACAGGAAATTATGCTCCATTATCGTTATTTCAACCGTTATATCTCCTATTTGTTATATAAATTATATAGAATTGCGATACTCATGTCGTATTTTTATTAATTTTCAATTACAATGAGTTGAGCTGCTGGAGAGCTAGACTGTTTCGTGGTAAAAAATATATATGCGCGGTTTTGTACTCCAAAACGTATTTTGGATATACATATGAGACGATTTATTATTTAGAGAACGTATAAAACATGCACTCGACGAATTTTTTTATTTTACTTTAAGCGATCTTAAAATATTTTGTAATATCTATACTCTGAAACCACGTAATTAAGGTAATATTATACTTAAGATTTAATATAGTGAATGATTTAGTAAAAATTCAAATAAGAGAACACACACCTGAATAAATATCTTATGTTACTTTTATATCAAAAAAAGTAATTTAAAAACATTTTAAAGCGATGCAGTGTAGAACAAATGTATAAAATTATGGCGGATTATCTCCAAGTTTGATAGATTAAATTTATTTAATAAAGAGGATATTCGGAAATCGAATAATACGATATGAAAACAACACTATTTATATGAATGGCCCAAATTTAAGATATAGTGAAAAATTTCGTTTCATTTTTATGACATTTTAACAGTAAATATAGAAAACATAGGTAAATTACTTTAGTGTATTTTTTAGGTTATGATAAGAATCTGATTTTACTCTATTTTATAAGAACACAAAAGCAAGGCTTAAATTATACATCACGGAAACTATACCGACAGTTATAAATTGAGTTGTTAAATTCAAAAACAAATATGAATGAAGCAAATTTAATAAAACCTAGATTCACGTTTGTTAAAAAGTTTAGAAAATTCAAAATATTCACGTTTCGTGCAACGTAGTATTGCTTTTGTGTATCGTGATATGCCATAAAATATGACGACACATAAAATAACGAATGCACAAAAATATATACCTAAAAGGAATACATTAGTTTACCCAAATATGAAATGATATTGTTATCTTTACAAATACGGGATTCTTTAGTCTTAAATATATTTAAAGTTATTTATTTCTTTATTTTCTTATATCAACGGAATGAACGATTTTTTTGCAGTGAGACCATTATCAGTTGAAATATTGGAAAGAGAGCAACCTTTGTCCGTGGGCCAAGAAACGGATATCGCTTGTAAAGCTGTTGGTTCTAGACCACCTGCAACTATAACTTGGTGGCTTGGTGGTAAAAAGATGGTCGTGAATACTCCACAAACGGTATTTTCATCGTTAAAATTTTTTTACTTTGCATTTTTATGTTCTGTATTTAATTAAGCTTTTGATTGTTTAAAGGATTAATTATATGTCTCCCCTTAGTTAAGTGAACAGTATTTGGTTTGTATTAAAGCTAGTTTGTATTAAAGTTTATACTAAGCAAGGTTCAGCAAGGACTCACATATGTTACAATTTGTTATTTTTTCAAACAACTTCCCAGTTTACTTATGATCAACTAAAATAGTCTTCAAAGAAATAAATAATTTTGTAACAGTTCGAAAAACGGTTTTGTTGTTTTAGAATTCAGAGGACCGTAATGAGACAATATCGTTCCTACGTTGGACTCCGCGAATGGAACACGACGGCCGAGTACTCACCTGCAGGGCATCCCATCCAATACTAGAACACGCTACTCTGGAAACTACTATCACACTTGATTTGCACTGTAATTTCTTTTATTTTAATATTAATTTCGTATTAAGCAATAGAAATCGCAATAATTCATTATCATTATTAATGTCTTTAACACAAAAAGTGTTAAAAGTTAGAAGGACTTTTGCAAAAATTTACAGGAATATGGCGTTAATTCTTATAAAACGTATATAGGTTTTAAAATAATCTTATTAAACAATAGAAATCCCAATAATTCATTATCATTTTTAAAGTCTTTAACACAAAAAGTGTTAAAAGTTAGAAGGACTTATGCAAAAATTTACAAGAATATGACGTTAATTCTTATAAAACAAAGATATCTAACAACTTTCAAATATACACTGTTATTTGCAAAATATTACATTCTCACATTTTAAAGAAATATATTATTTTATTAACTTAAAAGCATGGATTTATTTATGAAAATATTATTTTTGAAAAGCCTTACATAATAAGGTTTTTTAGGCCCGATTTTTCAATCCTCAGATAGCGAATTTTATCTGTCGAATAACGTTTATTCGATGAATAACAAGATTTTCAATTTTTCGATTGTCAGATAGATGTTTTCTGCCGAATATAGGCGGTAACTGGAGAATAAAGTTATCTGCTGCTTCAAGGGATGGTTAAGATTTATCTGTGGATTTATCTAGCTGTCATCTATGAAATTTTGAGGTTGTGTATGTTTTCCGATTTTATTTATAGTTGTGGTGTTTGTGCAGACCGAATTGTTTTTTATTGCTTAGTAAATAAAATAGATTGTATTACCTCACGCACATTATTTTGGATGTTTTTGAGCAAATCGACGACAATAGTGATAACATGTCAGGTATTTAAAACTTAAATCATTGCGTTCTTCCAATCCTGTAATATTTGAACATATAGCCAGCACTTTCTCCTCCACGTCATCGAAATCAGGAGCATTAGATGGCCCGCCACCCGTGCGATAAAGTTCCTGCCTGTGACAGGACATCTTCTTCGTGGCCTTTTTGATACTTTCATATTTTAATTTTAATGTTTTAGAGCTACGTGTCGCGGTACCACTAGTAGTTTCATTAAAAGAAGAAGCTATTCTGCCCCAGGCAGCCTCCTTATTTTTATTGGTCACGGCGTCCGTTTTTTTGTTTTCAATTAGGGTATATGCTTATATTTGGTAACCAATTCCGTCAATAATCGCGTTTCGGCTTTATCGAAATTGCTTGCACGCTCACGCTTTTTATCCATTTTTATTTATAATAGAACCAAATTAATTAAATGAAACCAAACCAAATGTCCGTCATAACTTGTTTCAGTCTAACGTCACGATGACTGCATACGTGCATCTCGCTCGTACACAGTTAGTGTGAAATTAGCGACGGATATTCATAGACAACAGATAGATAGCTATTATTTAGTTAAAAAACGATTGAAAAATTGAAAATATTTATTCCCTTGTTTAACAGCCAGTTATTTTTACACGTCAGTTAGTTATCTAGGGACTTATCAAAGGATTGAAAAATCGGGCCTTAATAAAATTACCATTTGATTCGACTACACAATTCTGAATGAAATCATTAGTAGTGTTCCAGAGGTAAGGGAACTTTGCCTGCTTTTTGATTCTTATACAAAATTATTTCAAAATCTTATACTATGTTGGGTCTCATATTTCGTTTGAAAATGATTTCAAAAATATCACTTGTGTATTTTCTATTGTGTAATTTATAAGTACGAGCTAATTTTGAATTGGCTTTCGTCGTCTTGAACCTACATTACTCTTAATATATAACACCAATAGAAATATTTCAAACTAAGAACACTGGCTATAGGTTTAAATAATTTCTGTAGAAAAATTACAAGTTTTGACGTTTGAAAACGCATGAAGTAGGGTGATCAGAAACCTTTTTATAAAATGTCGACTTTGTTGATTTAATAACAATTAAATGCCCACAACCTCTGTGCTTTAATTTTAGGATGATAATATGATACTGTAAATTTGGGCAATAATAGATTAGAAATTTTTGACTTCATCCCACTTCAACAAAATTGAAGTGGGATAAAAATGACAATCATCATATGATTGATTCATAGAACTTAAGCCATAAAAGCCATGAACGGTCCGAAGATAATTTAATAAAAGAACTGTTACTTTCTTTTCTACAATATCAATTAAGATCATTATGGTTTAACATCTTTAACTTATTTTATTTATAGTTATTTTATCGGTAAAGCTTCTCTTAGTGCAATAAAGTAATCCTCCAATAATTTACAGATGTTCCCATAGTCGAACTACAATTGGGTTCCAAAGTGAACCCTAATGATATTGAAGAGGGCGATGATGTTTATTTTGAATGCATCGTGCGAGCAAATCCGCCGTCTTACAAAGTTGTTTGGGAACACAATGTAAGTGAAATGGTTTAATACACACATCAACTCGACTGGTTTTATAGAAGAGTGATTTAGAAAATGGAGTTGCAGTTAACTATGTTGTTGATATAAAAAGACTTGGAACTTTGAATATTTTTATTTTTAAGTACCACCTTCTCACAGAAGACCGGCGTGAATTAACCTTCAGTGGTTGTGTTTCGTCCGATGAGTGAGAGAGCCATTGCCTTTTCCCTAATCCCACCATTTCCTACTATTTCCCTGTTCCCATCCCTCCCTTTTCCTGCATAATCAAGGTTAGCAACGGATCATCAACACCTATGTTGCGGATGTCCATGGGCGACGATCACTACTGCCCATCAAGTAGGCCGTCTGCTATTTTGCCACCTTTGACATAAAAAAACTAAATTTACATAAGTGATTAATTTAAGAATAATTTAATCTTCCTTGTCAATAAACTACAAACGTTACTAATATTGTAATAATTGACAGGGTCAGGTAATGACACACAACCAACGTGCTGGAGTAATAGCTGGGTCGGCGCACCTCGCTCTACAGGGAGTGTCGCGGGATCAAGCCGGACAGTATGTCTGTGTTGCTAGTAACGTGGAAGGGGATGGACGATCACTTCCAGTGTCCCTACAAGTTATTTGTAAGTGTTGATTTAGAATAATCAGCTCACTATAAGTAATATACGCTAACTGTGCTCAATATATCATGTGCATGGTATTTACTCTTGGTTCGTATGTACTCATCAGAACGCGTTTAACCTTAACTGAACTCCACTATTGGAAGCAAAATTTACAATTTTCATATGAACAAGTAGATTAATTATTTTAAATTATAGAAAACGCGTAGTATATCAGAAAATAATAATTTCATTTTATTGAACACTCGAAAAATATATTACAGTGAATTAAATATATAAAAATTAAGAATTTTCAGGAAATGGGACAGTATCTAACAGTAAAATTGATAAATATGTTTTTCTTTTAATTGTTATAAATCATGAACCACTTGAAATAAAACAAACGGTAAATTAGTTAAAACCTACCATATACTATGAGACAGACTAGTATCAGACTATATCAACAGCGTCACACCTACTTTGGGATTTCAAAAAAGTGGAACAGCTCGACTTAACTCGACCTCTTCCCACTCCCGAAGCAAGCTTACAACGCTCAACGTTAAAACGATTGGGACGGATATATGTTTATTAAAAGTATTAGTCGAGGCAACTATGACTATTCTGAACTATTATTCAATTAATATATATAAGTCAATTGCATCAGGCCCCCGCAAATTACTTTACTGATGATATAATTAGACGCACAAAGTGTATTGGAATAGGAAAATTCGTTTGGTTTTTGACAAGGATGTAAAATTGCTGCTATTATAATAACTAGACACTGTTTGTAGTATAAAATTATAAATATATAGAGACACTACATTTCTCGTGTCTGGTCCACTGAGAAGATTCCAGATCGAAAGTTTAGTCTATCAGTGAATATTCTTGTCATTCCCATTTAATACTTTACGTTGTTTTTATTCAATACAAATTAATAGATATACTATAAAAACGTGTGTTAACTTCATCTCAAGTAACATACTTAATGTTTGATTATGAGAAATATCACAGTTTATCGGAACAAACGTACTTAAAAATCAATAAAACATTAACAAACAATTATTACTTTAATTACGAAACACAACTGACTTTTAAAGAAATTAATTAAAACACTTCGACTTCTTGATAAATCACTTGTTTATTTCCAATTTCCACAAAATAATGAATAATTATATCCAAAGATGCTCTTTAAATGTTATCTCCTCGATACATCGCGCCACTCCACACCTCTCCCGCCGCCAACTTACCCCGTAGTCATTACAGCCCCTTTTTATTTTTTACACTTCACATTTTATACACAATACTTTGGTTTCTTTTCGGTGGGTAAAATTCCTCAAAAACAAAATTTCTTACATTTTACTTGTACAGACAGCTTTAGGCAAACCAATATACAACTAAATAATCTCCTCTTTGCCTGAGTATTAGTTTTATTTTTAAATAATAAAATCAATTAGAGTTGAATGTATAATTGTAATAAAAGTAATGTATTGTTATAAAGAAATAGAGCCGATATGTTTTGGAAATATATTAGTTAAATCAGTTTTATTATTGATAAAATAATAATAATATTCTCATATACCATCATATACATATATACCATCATAAACATTTTCATATACCATCTGAAGTTGTTGAAATAGTAAAAGTATGCAATAGAGCAAAATATCCTTGTGGAACCGAACCAAGTTCCTAGTTTCTTAAAAGGCGTTATGTATGATCTGTTCGAGTATGGGCGTTATGTACCGATAACGATGGACGGGTTTCCATTTTGAAGCAAAGATAGTCTTTACTCGAAACGATACTTGTTTATTGCTAACAAATTCTGACAATGAATATTAAGAATCGTATAGCAGAGAGTTTACCTCAGTGGCTCCTAAGAGCGACTAATGAAGTTTGAATTCAGTACGATTATGCTTGAACTTTTATATGGTAAATACTGTATTATAATTGTGGGCACTAGAACAAAACTAATCACCTAGTGTATTACTAAAATTATTTAGGTTGATGAAGTGGGTAATTTGAAAACAATTATAATGAACGAATATGTACATAAAAAGGAATATTTTTAATATGATTAGCCTCTCGGCGTAACATATACATTTTGAACTTTAAAAAATTATAATAAATAAACACCTTTATTCCATTCCACAAACTCGTGTTACCTCCACATAGCATCCGAGATTGTAATTCGTACCACAATTAAAATCGTTGACATTGGTAAAATATTCCCTGATTCCAGTGCGAATGAGCCATAGCATTAAAAAATATTTGAGATATTCACAAATATTCTGAATAAAAAATGACACACGTGTTATTTAATCAAAACTGTATAGTTACAATAAATTATTTCAGTGTTACATATATTTATATTAAACCAACAATTTATCAATTTTTATATTATCATATATGTAAGTAGACGTTTCTTGTTATTAAAGTACTGTTGTTGTCGATTCAAAGTTATCATGATTTAAAATGATTCTTATTAATCCAAATGCTGAGAAAAAGTCGTGACAGAACAGACATTGAAATAGTCGTAATAAAAGCGTTGTTTTTTCTTTTATGACGTCTAAAATGTAAGTGTCAGGGTGTAATAAAAGCACCATTAGTAGTTGAAAGCATCACGGAAAAAATGTTGGAAAACATCATTTTAGTATATGTGACCTATAGTTTCATAAAAGAGACAATAAATACCGATATGAATCATCTGATTATATATATGTATAATGCCAAAAAATTACTTATGCAAGACATAATAAATTGTCATGATAAACACCACCAAAAGCGATTAAAACAGAAAATGAAAAAAAATGCATAATAATTGTATTAAAAAAAGATAACAACGAAATAGTAGAGAAAATTTTGAATATAAGTGAGTTATTTTTTTTGTTTTGATAATTTTATAAAATTATAAGTGTGTAACTTGAAGAATTTGATAGTACATGATTGCTGTTATACATACATATAAAAGAATGGAAATTAATGCAATCGCCTATTTAACCCTTTGTAGTCAGTTTTGTAATAAGCTGGCCCACAGCATATTTGCAGCAGGAGTTGATAGTTCATTCTTTTAAAATATTCCTACAAAGTAAATTCTTTGTATTTTTAATAACATCATTACAGTATTTTGGTTAAAAACAGAATAATTTTAGAAACTAAAAATATATTTAGTATGTCCTAGGTCGTTTAAAGTAAACTATTTGTTAGGTGTACATTATTGCAGCAGTTAGAATTAGTGAGATAACTCTATACCTGAAGATATATTTCTGTGGTAAAGTCTAATGTCTGTTTACTAATTATGTTCTTAACTGTAAAGTTCCACTTTGAACCTAAGTTTATTTCGTCAAAGTGTTTAAAACACTTTATAGCTGGTGTTTCGTATAATCATTCAAGGGGTCATTGAATATGATCTAATTTTACAAAAACAGATCGGAAAATAGAAACTCTATAAGACCTTTTTCTTTTGGTAATTTAACTTCATCGACTTAGGATCGAAGAGTAAATTGTAATGTTAGCTGTTTATTATAATGTGAAATCGTGAAAGCTTAAAGCCATAATAAGTTCAAAGAGTAATGATATTTATAAGCATTGATACGGATACATTTTATAAAATGTTTTTGTAAAATAGAGTCTTTATTTATTATAACCTTAGTATTGTAAATAGATATAGAAACAATCCCATACCAATAATGAGATCTAAGACTTTCACGAGAATTCATTTAAATAAAACTAATATTTTTTGGATTATACATACTAAGTGTATTTTATTATTGTAAAAACTACATACTCCCGACGATTCGGTTACTTTTCAGCAACTATCTATCTATATATACATACATCTCTCCAACACCACCACACCACGGTACCTCGTGACAGGGTAAGCGCATTCTGCCGGCAACCAGAGCGGTTTGCCAGAAAATTAAGAATCCGTTGGCGGTTTGTGATCAGAAACAAGACTAACTGACAGTCATTCACATCTCGTCTGCCCGTAATCACGGTTGCTGAGAAGTAAATGAAACGTCGGGAATATGTAGTTTTTACAATAATAAAATACACGTAGTATGTATAATCCGAAAAATATTAGTTTTATTTATTTTGACAATAATGAAATACGCGTCGTAAATAAATAAATACGAAAAATATTAGTTTCATTTTAATCACATACCATTTGTGTGCCAATCAATATCTATGTATTTAGCATCAATTAAGTGAGATAAATTATTATTTCCAACAAATAATAATTATTTCTTTATTTATTTAAAAAAAAATATATATAAATGTGTATTGACACCGTATGACCGTAATCAAATTAACAACTTTTTGATAAATGTTGTAGCTATTAAAACAGAAATTTATGATAAATATATTATTTCGTTATTATTGCAATTCAAAATAATGTTTTCCGACAAATTTATGTGATATTTAACTGAATAGGTTTTGAGTTATTATTATTAATTGCAACTATTGTTAATGTAGGTCGTAGTGACTTTTTTTTATCGGGGAGAAATCCGCTTACAGACTACCCACTGCCCTGGCTCGACAGTGGGACTTGTGTGGGGGTCGCCCAGAGCCTGATGTTGTTGGCCCTGGGAATACCCACTAAAACTCCCCGGCTTCCCTTCCTGCCCGTATTTGGGGGCGATTTGGGACCTGCTATGGTAATTCATCAATTCGCCCCCGGGCTGCCCAGCTCTGTGCCGGGCTACCGCGCCGGTGGAGGATTACCCGGAAGAGCCGAGATAATCCCCAGACGTGTTGACCACGTGCAATGCCTGCATCAGAGCCACTTGATGCAGGCTGGTCGAACCTCCAGGTCGAAGGTTACAGGTTTACCCGTCTCCTCCGACCCGTACGTCTACGCCGGAGGGGAGTGGCTAGAGCATCCTCCTCCCGCTCCCTCTCCGCAGCTTCCTTCGCCGACATCACTTCTTCGGCGAAGCAAGCAGCAGCCTCCCAGGCCTCCTCGCTTCCAACCATGGCTTTCACCATGTTTGGAAGCGACAGGATCCTCCCGCTGAGCGCCGCAGTGAGTACACGGCGCTCATTTCTCCATGCCGGACACACTAATAGGGTGTGCTCGGCCGTATCGTCAGGTTCGCCACAGTGTCACAGTGCCACAGTGTCAAGAGGAAAGATGTGTTTATTTGTTTGTTTATTTGTAATGAATACGCCCCGAAACTACAGGACCGATTTCAAAAATTCTTTCACCTTTGGAAAGCTACATTATTCCCGAGTAATATAAGCTATATTATAGGTGGTAGTGCCTAGCTGTAGTCATGTAACTACAGCTCGAATACGGGCTGGCTCGACCGGGGAAGTACCACTCTCTCACAGAAGATCGGCGTGAAGTAACCTTCAGTGGTTGCGTTTCGTCCGATGAGTGAGAGAGCCGGTTGTCTCTTCCCTATTTCCTCCCTTTGCTGATATTTCCCTATTCCCATCCCTCTCTTTTTGTCAACAGTCAAGGTTGGCAAAGCATCCGTAACACATATGTTGCGTATGTCCATGGGCGACGGTAACTACCTTCCACTAAGTAGGCCGTCTGCTCGTCTGCCACCTTTGACATAAAAAATATATACATTGACAATCAAAGATTTTTAAAATAATTGAAAAATAATATTACTATTAGCAAATATGTAACTTGTTAATTACAAAAATATAATACCGAGCTTTTAAGCATTTATTATGTGTCTTTATTTATATAACCTATATGCATAGATTAATAATTTTTTAATATTCATTAGCAGTAATTTTGGTTAAAAAAAAACTATTTAATACCCGGTCTATTAAGCAAAGCTATTAAAATTAACAAGGCATTATTGAAATCTTCCAAGTGAAAATCATATAGCGCTGAAAAATTATTCTATATAAGTTCCTCCAGGAAGAAGTGCTTCCAATTTGCTTTTTTAATATGTTTTTTTTATATAAGATCTTATGTAATATTTCTCAGATAAAAATTTCAGTGATGTGAAATAATTAGATTTAATTGATCTATTCTGTTCTTAGATTTTGGGATGGGGTATATGAAGTGTAACCATAGAGATAAAATTATAATATTCTTATACACAGATAAACCTATATGTAAGAACACGATGACAGCAATTGTAGGCGCAGCTGTCAATGAAGCAGCTAGAGTCGCCTGTGAAGTCGATGCCTTCCCACTGCCGAAGAACTTTCAATGGACACTCAATAACACTTTGGGAACTACTGAGTTAGATCCGGTGAGTACTTTTTTATTTCTGTGTTAAATTAAACGGTGTGTTTAAATTTCACGTTTATTATTATATATAACATTTTCTTGTATTAAAATCGTACGAGATTTCGTTTTCATCTGATTTGAGGAATTTGGAATTGGAAACCATCATATTTTTTTTATTGGAAATTCGTTCGTCATAAGATTGACTTATCTTGTCTATTACAATTTCGTCAGATTGAACCTTATAATATTATGAAAATAAATAAAAATAATGTTAAACCATTTTTGTAATTGCTATATGAATTTAAATTCTTTTACGATAATGCTTCTGTATACGGTAAAACAGTTTTAATATTAAGATGTCTGAAATTCTGAAAACGGTTAATATTTAACTCTTAATAAATAAATGACAAATGAGACTTTTACGAGTATTCACTTAAATAAAATGAATATTTTCGGATGTACTCGTACTACACGTTAATAACGTGTAAATATATTAGTTTAGCGTAACGAGAAATTAGTGTTTTCATAATACATTACTTGTAATTAGAAAATTTAATTTTAAAGAATCATTCCTAATTAAAGATGTTTAAGAATTCCTTATATGAAATGTTTTTTTTTTTAAAGAAACTAGCTACGATAAATATTATACCATTCATTTACACCCACGAAACAATATCAACTAATACATAATAAAAACTTCATCAGGGAAAGTTCACGATAGAAAAATCGGGTCGTTCAATTCTCACGTACATACCAACTTCTGACATGGACTACGGGTCGTTGGCCTGTCGAGCTACAAACTTGGTTGGACAACAATTAGAGCCTTGTAGATACACCCTACTGCCAGCCGTCAAGCCTGACCCGCCTGCTAACTGTTCGACCTTGAACTTAACAGATGACTCAGCCGAAGTAAAATGTATTGCTGGTAAGCTTGGCTCTTCTTGTATATTTTTTTGTTGTTTTAACACCTACAAACTTAATACATTGTTGACTACAAAAATATACAAAGGCTGAAAATGAAATTTATGTTTTTTTATTTATTCATAGAAAACTTTGCGATAAAGTTATAAATACATTAATTTAAAGTTGATTACTATTTTTTTTCCTAGGCTATGACGGAGGTCTCCAAACTACGTATTTTGTGGAAGTATGGGAAGCGGAAGAATTAATAGCAAATGTGTCAACAATACTTCCCGTTTGGAAGTTACAAGGGCTCGGATCTGGGAAGGCTTTACAACTCGTGTTTTACGCTAACAATGCAAGGGGCAGATCTGATATAACTACACTTAGAATACACACGTTGTCAAGACTAGCTTTACATACGGGTAACTATTTGAAGACATAAAACTATTTTTATCATTTCACATTAGTAACATTTTGAAGTATTGTCCTAGTTATAATTAAAATATTCAATTTCATAACACACAAGCGAAGAACAATTATATGGTAATTGACACGAACTGGACCCTGGGTATTGCAGCGGGTGCATTGGGTACGCTGACAGCTGTAGCTGTAATAACCGTCTTGGCTCGAAAGCGACAGAGGCCTGTGGAATATGATGGTGAGTGATTAAAGTTTAATTTGTAATAGATCATTAACATACACTTAAGACTGTTTAAAATATCTATTTGCTTGTTAAACATAGGACCATCAGGATTAAGTAAACGTGTCATACATATTAACAATATTATGATTTTTCCAATACCTCCCTTTTCCATTGATATTCAGATACAAATTCATTTGTCATTTCACCAAAACGCAATGTTTGAGCTTTGTAAAAACGTTTACCAAATCCATTTCAAAACAGCATTATCTTATAGTGAAGCGTTAGTGGTTTCATTGTGGTAACATACATTATCGCATCGGTGCAGAATATCTGCAGGATAACTTGTAAATGGTTGAAGTTTGAATTTTTATGACACCATTATCACCCACAGAGACAAAACATTTCAAATTTGATTTATAATTCGATATTTTAATGTGGGTAATGTTTTGTTATATTTTGATGAAGCAATGAAGGGATTTGTGGAAGGAAAGTAATGTCGTAAAATACACCTTCAAAAAGATATTTTTTTGAAATGTGTATCAGCCACACACAGCATGGTAATAAAAATAAATTGGCTGACTGATAGAGATTACCTTGGGAGATATTGATGTAATAATAAAAACACGACTCAGACATAATACTGAAGATATCACGTCTAGAGTCTTAAAACATTGTATAAAAGATTAGGAACTGTTGATATTTTTAAAGAAAAATTTAAATAATTTATAGAATCAGAATAGCAGCAATAGCGGTTTTAATATCTTTTATAATTGAATAGTTTCTTTTGACTGCTACTGCTAATATATGATATCTTTTACATAAGTTTACTTTCAGATCACTAATAAACCATGACTGCTTAGAAAAAGTATTTGTGTTAATATTTTTCTTTGGTTCACAATCATAATTTTAATTATAAAAGAAAACAAAGAAAAATCCATTTATAAAAACAATAACAATACCGCTTTAGAAAACTGTAAACACTAAAGTAAATTTAAATTGTTTGGTTAGTAAAGTGAGGGATAAAGAAGATTACTCGTGTGTCGAATCTTCAAACACCTTTCTAAGTTAGAAACTCTTTTTACTGCATTTCAAATGTGATTTATGTTCTTCTACATTTCAACAGATATTGCACATGTTTCGTCTTTCAGTTGCCGACATTTTATCAAGTTTTCTCTTCACTAACCGCAAAAAGGAAAATCGTGTTATGATTTCTAATATTTAGAATGCAATATTAAATTTCATGTTTTAAATTTACCACAGTATCTATCTTTTTATAAAATACTATTGCGACCTATCTTTACATTTTTGTATATTAACATTATTTCGATACATTTTTGTTAATTATAATAATTAAATCTGTACCAGGATAGTACCAGCCGTCGACGAAATCTTGTTCCTAAATGTGTTTTAGCATGTCAGACTACAATCTTATTATATCGACACGGAATATAAATGTCATTGTTTCGTTTTAGAATTATTTGTTAGTAATTTTATGAAAATTAAATAAAAATTGTTACTGAATCTACAGATGTATAAATAATATTAATTTTTTGTGTAACATATTGGGTATCATACATCAAAAATCCGCTTTGAACTTAAGGTATATTTTTATTACAATAATCCTTAGTAGGAACAGACGACAGGTAGTGACAACAATGTTTTATATGAAAAGCTCTTACGGATATCAGGAGTTACATGATATTGCCTTCAAAGTAAACTCTTTTGAATTTAAAATGAAGAAGTTTGAAGTGACTTTTAAACTACTGTCGGAATGAAATGTCAAGAAGGTATAAGGCTTGCTTATAAGAATATTTGCAAAATTTTTATTTTTTGATATGTTTTCAGTGTCAATAGTACATATTTTATTAATAATATTTTTTACATGAGTCTTATTTGAAATTTTTTTTAGTTCCATTACAAACTATGAAAGGGTGTAAGGGTGCAATGCATAGCTCCAACCATTCACCTATACAAGACGACAAGAACCCAGACGTAGTGCCTCTTGGAAAAGGTGAGTGTATTTGTGTATTTTATACGAGCCTACTATGCACATTGTTTGTTTACATTTCAATAAACTACGATAAAAGAAATTAACATTAAAAAAAACCATTAAAATAATATAGCGATATATATTAATTTAACTTATTTTTACAAATAATATTTTTTACGCACATTTTAACAGTTAAAACATTTATCCGTATCAATGGTTTTTAATCTAAATTATTCATTTACTTGTTGTGTTAACATGCATGTAAATTAGTGAACTGTACTTTAATATTTCATTCAACTATATAATCATGCAAAAATAATAATAATAATTGTCCTTGTATTGTATTCATAATAAGAACAATACTCACAACTTTAATTTGGATCCTTTTCTTTCTAAACTGAAATAAAAGCAAATATATTTGTAAAAATCGAGTTTATTGAATCTTGTTTTTGTTTGCTCAGACTTCAACTGTACAAGGGATTCTGAGCTCCCTCCGGAACCGCCGCCTTACGGGATAGCCCTATCGAATATTCAACCGGTGGGTGCGTCCAAATCCGTACACAGTCTCCACGATCGAACGAACACACCGCATACTCTTAATACACCTGGGTCCGGACAGGTTAGTTACAGAACATATTGTCATTTATCATTAAACTACTAAATTTCTTTCCATACGGTATTTGATTTAAATATTATAGTCTGAATACAGATACACTGAGGCAAATTTTTATTTTTATTTCAAATCCATTAAAAATAAATTAATATATTAATAGAAGATAAATTGAAATTAGTTTCTACGCATAGAGAGAATACTAAGTTATTTTCTTCATGTTATAGAGCATCAGTACACTGACTGAGGATAGAAGGAGTTTGACGAGTGGAACACTATCACGGCGGAGGGAGGTCGTCACTACTAGGACCACAGTTTTAACCAACGCCAGAGAGAGTTGCGTTTAAGATTGTATAAACTGTTTCTTGTATTGAAGGAAACACAAACATTTCTATGTGTAAATGTTATTTTTGTACAGTCCAGTGTCTGTAAAACTTTTGTTAACAATATAAAACCTTATATTTTATTGACGATTCTATTATATGGTTAGTCCTTTTACTGATTTCAGTTAGAAAAAAAGTGATGTTCGAAATGTCACTATACTTATTAATATATAAGGTTTCTTTTTTCTCTAAAAAAAATAAATATGATATTAAAATCCATAACAGCTGTTAATATATTCAGTAACTCATACCTTTAGAAAAGAGGGGAACTTTCCTTTAATAAAAATTTATTACGTTTTTAATGATCTGAGTTCTTGTGATTTTTATGCTTTTTTCGTTACGTTTGTGTAAAAATCGCCTTAAGAATTTAATGAACTGAAACCGTTTATATCATATTGTCAGATGGTTTAACGTTTGTCTCTTTTTAATCATGGAGTTTTCTTATAAAGTCTTTTAAGTACAAAAACAAAAAGAAAACAAATTTGGACTTAATAAAACATGTACCGAAGTTATATTAAGTTTAATGAGAAGGGTTTTGTTGTTTACGATTTTTCGTAATATAGAATTGACGATTCTAACAATCTGACTGTGCAAATAAAGTTTAGATAAAAGTAACCGTATAAAAGATAAAAAAGTTGCATTTTAAAAAGTTTTAATCAAAATTTTTGTTGAAGTTTTTCCATCTTTTTTAGACTGATAGTTGGAAAATGTAAAACGGTTGTTCAAAGCGTTTGTAATTCTTTGAGCAATAAAGAAAAGGCTACTACAAAGGTTGAACGGCATGCGCCAGTTTGGATTTAAATTATAAAAAATGAAATTGAATTCACCTATATACAATCTAAACTAGGGTTAACGTATATAAAACACATCGATAAATAAAGCTTAAAACCGATTCCATAGCAATTTCCTTTATGAAAGATAAATAATATTAATTGCACAGTATTCACTTATTTACAATTAATAACATACCTATTATATTAAGTTTATGCAATTATATTAGAAAATGATCCTATTAATTTTTTACCTATTCGGTATTGCAAGAAAGGCATTTCATTGTCATTCAATAAAGAATAGCCATCCAACCGATTAAAATATTTTCTAATAAACCCTTAAATATATGCAGTGGAAAATTTGGGATTGTAGTTCGAAAATTTTTTTCCAAAATGTCAAGATCACTTGCATCGTTGCTGCGGACAACGGGCTTGAAGCGCAGGACGTGAATAAAACATGTCGTCGCAGTGACGCGATAGTTTTGAACTCACTTGTTTCTCTATTTATGCTTCCTTTGTTTGGTCTTGCTCAAATAATCTAGATATATCATTTATTTCTGAACGAAAAGCGTTTACGATAATTATTTCATCAGCATAACAGAAATAATACTATGTTAATTGTTGATTGTAGGAGTAACATGTATGACATGTTTTTTTTTTGTAGATATTCGTTTTAATTTGACCCAGTTACCTACTCTAGGTATTAAATTCTATGTATAACTGTAAATGAATCAAGAATAAAAACTAATAATAATCAAAAAAGTTTTTCATCAGATCAGATCTATGATGAGTGCAAAAACTGAATCCAAAGGCAAGATTTCAATATTTAAAATTAATATTGAAAATTAAATGTATACTTTATTCTTTAAAAGAAGATAGTAACTAAGAAATTCTCTTTAAGACTGTTGTTAAGGAATAGTGTTTCCTTCAATATGGAGATTGTAAACATGTACCTAATTTTGTAAACATAGTGAATGATGGAGAAATATTCTCAGTTCTAAAAAAATATTGTCAGTTTAAGGATGTAGTCATTTGTATTATATTGAATACTTTAATGATAACAAAAACATGAGTAATAAAAAAGATGAAATAAAATATTCATAATTTTTATTGTATGACACCGAAAGCGTGATTCGGAAAAGAAACAGACAATAAAGCTGTATAAAAAATCTTATGATTTCTGCTATATTTCTTTATATATAAAACATACTTCCTGTTGTTTTAAAAAGTAAAATAAATTATTTTGAAATAAAAAAACCTTGACACATGACTTTCTTAAGAAAATGAATTTATTGCACTAATTTTTAATTTTATAATACATATCTATCATGTATTAAATATGAATTCACTGTGATGCTATAAAATTATTATATATTTGTCTAAGGTAAATGTAAATAATAAAATTAATTGGTTCTATTCTAATATCTCATATGATTTAAGAATTAGTACAGTTTTTAAAAATGTATGTAAATATCTATATGTGAACAATTGTATTGAAAAAATATAAATAAATGTTACTGAGATTATAATCTTATATTTATTTTGCGATTAGCAATGGTTTTTCTATAAATTTAATGTAGATTCTGTACTATCTATTTCACAGACAGTATGGTTGTGTAAAAATTCTTGCATTTGTTATTACGTTGGTGATTTTCTAAAGACTTCTTGACATATCGTAAGATTAAGTAGATATGTATAACAATTCTTAAGTAATAAATTTACTTATCAGAAGTACTGTTATTTTATTTTTAACCAAAAAACTATAGATATGGAAGATGACTTAAGCAAAAAACCAAAATAAATAATTTAATTAATGGCATCTATGTATAACAATGAATTTCAACTTTATGCGAAAAGTGAATGTGAGAATTTTCTTCAAAAATGCTTTAACCTTAACGATGATTTCTTTAAAACATAATATTAATCATCATCTTTATTTTTCTGTTAACGAATATTTTCCAGAAATGTTATTAAATTAATCCTTAAATTAGTAAACTTTTTAATATTGAATTACTAGTAAAATACTAGTATTGAATTGAAATTTTTTAACTCTGTGGTGACTATACAAAATTACACTGCTGAAGCAAGGTAGACATATATAGGTGGATTTAAACGCTCAATACCATTTGCGATAAGAATTTTATCTTCGCCTTTTCGAGAATCTTAAAAGGTGGGGTCTTAAAGGACATCGTAGACTGTGATGAGTTTCTTGTTTATGAACAAAGGAAAAAAAGATGCCTCCAGCGTTGTTTTTTGGTTCGTAAATCTGTGACGATAACCCCGAAATCTCATAGTCTCAGCAAAATATATTATCCGTTGACAAACAAAGGAACTTGTTTACGTAGTCTGGTTTATGGGTAATAAAAACAAATTGATACTTTCTTAAGTTTTTAATTAATTAATATTTATATAAAACAGATTTGAAGTTCAATAAAGAATAAATTCCACTGTATTTATTAATTTATTGCTTTTGATAGACATTTCATTTTATTACACAAACACTGCAATGTGAGAAAATATATATATATATAAATATATATATATCCTTGTAGTGTTCTTTATTTATTTATTTTTTTCATTAACGGTAAATGAGCTCCAGAAGAATTCGAAAAATCAAAATGAAATCTTGTAATAAGCAGCCCCATCCAGTAATATCTCGCCTCAACCAGTTTCACTTGAATTAGACGCTTATTGGTGAGGTTAATTGCGTGTCTCGACCTACCGGTCTATGTGCATATGTAATTGTTGGCCTCTTCCCATGAATTTACTCCAGTAATAACACATTTCACCAATATATTTTATGGTAGCTTGTTTTAGTGTGTGGCTAAAGATGTAATGCAAATCTTAGGAATTTATAATCTTTATATTGACGTTTGTTGATAGAAAAATATTGTTTAACATTTGTCTGAATTGTATTGTTTCTCACTAAGAACACATGGAAATTTTAAATAGCTCTCAACATTAAAGTAACACTTGGGAACTGTCACAAGTTATCATAAATAATTAATTTCAAACATTCCCAAGAGCTATGGTACGGTGTGGTAGAATTTCGTACCAACAGAAGGGTCAAGTAGAATAATTTAAATACAAATTATATGACGTATTTTATATTTGAAAATAAATTTAATATATATACAAAAGTTTAATCAAGTATTATAAATAGTAATCATGGATAACTTGACTTCGTCATAAAAAACTCATGTTATCAATATTTCATACATTTACCTTCGTATATTTTATTAGTAAATTAAACAAAAAAAAATTTCATCACAAGTTATACTTTTACTTCTACATATTTCTGGTAATTGATAAATCTCGTCAATTTGACGACGCCAGTTTGCTCAATACTCCAGGAGGAAGAAACTAGTTGACATAGTTCGCTTGTTTTTGATGTTGGTACTCGCATTTTTATTTCACTGATGAGAATTTTTCGTCATTCTGGTGAATTCTTTTTGTTAATTTTGATTGAAATATTAAAATAGTCTAATTTAAATTCTTTTCTACTGCGCAGCAGTTAGGAATTGAGTGTTCTAAAAGGGATTGTTTTCGGTGTAAATACAACATTACAATAAGTTTTAGAAAGGTCTCTATGTTTCATATTTCAATATCTGTCTTTCATAAATCTGATAAATTCTCGAAGCTCTATCATTTCAAGCTTTTTTAATGGTTTGGTAAAAACAAAATGATTGTCCAATCTTTCGTTGTTTGAGCCATTGTGTAATCTTATCGACAGTTGTTACCAGAAATAGTATTCATTTATTGTTAGATTTGTGTCTGATCTTACGTGACTTGTCATATCACATTAAAAAGTATGACCAATAGTAGCAATTTCTGATATATAATTTAATTAAATAAAGGCTTGAAATTGTTATCTAGCTAAAAAAATTTAAAGTGATTGACTTATGTTTTTAATAAAATCGTAAAACCTAGCAGATTTCATAACTTAAGTATACTTTTGTTTTAAAACTCTTTCAATATCCCATAAACTTAAATGGCGTCGTGTTGATACTGAAAACAAATGACATCAATTCATTTAATTAAAACTAGTTTTATGAAATTTGTCAATACGTAACTCACAATGATATTTTCGTGGTATAAAGTCTTAATATATAAATATGTACCATTTAATGTTATTGTAAATAGCATTGTAAGCTTTCTAAATGTATTAAAGTCCTAGGAAACCGATTT